ACCAGTCCTTCCAAGGATCCAAGGATCCTTGACTTCTGTGAGTCATGTTATGCTTGCTTTAAAGAGGTTTCTTTGGACACAATGTGGAAGAGTTGGAAATCCCTTGCATGTGAGAGAAGTGCTGGTGTACTACAAGCATGAACAGCAGCTATTTAAGAATTTACTCTATGAAGCAGCTTTGAGAGGTCCAGGACAGGAGGTGGAAGAGCCTCTATGTGCTCAGTGCTTGTTTTAATTTGTTTGCTACCATACATAACCTATCAAGGACTTCTCTGCAGCCCACAATGGGCAAGGCATGGGAAGTTCAAGCCATTGTCGTGCCCATTCTTGACCCTGCTGCCAGATCAGGGTATTTTCATCTGAAACTGCTTGTGTTGTGCGGGAACCATCATTGGTACACTATTGTGGCTTAGTTTTAATCACAATAGGTTCATAGTGGAATCTGGAATCAGTTCCTAAAGCTGTGACATTCTTTAAGGGAATAGATAAACAGAGATGTGTTAGATAAGAGGAGTCCAGGATGCTTTCACCACATAAAATCTCTAAGAGCGGCTTTGGAAATGTATTCCTAAATGTGTAGTCTTGTGCAGTGTGAGTTTTATTTGCATAACCAAATATTCAAGGTGGAAGTGGTAAAGCATCAAACCCCAAATCAAATTTAAAAACCAAATGGCAAAAACCCAACTTACGGGGTGCCAGCTACCCTGGGTGCCAGAGGAGGTAGGAGACGTTGCATACTGCTGCGCAGAGAACAGGGCTCTTACTGTGCTAGGGCTCTATGGGGTTTCTGACTCCCAGTTTTACATTTATGCTCCTCTATGTGGATTTCTGGGTGAGGTGACTGTGGTAATAACTGATTATGCACAGAGTTTCATTGGCAAACCACAGTGAACCTGAGTTCTCTTCCCCTTTGGACTCTTGCCATTGATTACATGTTCTCTTAAATGCTAGTCCTAGCCACTAAAAATAGGGCAATTACTTTGAAAAAAACCCACACGTTAAGTTCTGTGGTCTCCACATGCAGAGATGTTTGATTTGTCAGGGGATTCTACAGAATGAGTAGGAGCAAGCCCAAATTTGACGACTTCATTCATTTGCGAGTTCAGAGTAGCCCAGCGAAGACTTCTATACTTGAAGCACTTCTCTCATCCTGGCAGCACTTCTAACTCCCTTCAGGCCATGATGCTTCGTGGTGGTCACATCACACATGCCAGGATTCTATTCAGATCATCTTTCACCAAAATAACCCCCCTTTTTTTCCCCTGCTGAAATTGCAGAAAGACCATCTCTCTACAAATAAGACAGCAGCTGCATCCATTGATGTGTGTGTGTGTGTGTGTGTGTTTGGTGTAAATTCTGATGAATCACATTTATGGAAGACAGACATTAACCAAGATGTGCTGTGTAGGAACAAACCACATAAAAAATTGGAGGAACGAAAGCAGGAAGCTGCAAGCAATCACAAGAAGCTCTATACTAGCAATTGGAAGTAAATATAAACTTAAGCAAAAGAAATGATCAACAAGGGTGCAAAATGCAGGGCTAACTGTTCAGGTATAGCCGTCTATAACCTGTACTTTTTGTCTTTGAAACACATGATACAGCTTTTTGTTAAGCATATCACACAGATTTTGCTAAAGGAGAACTTTAGTATTGAGATGTCAGGGCTGGAGAACTGGCAGCTCACAGAGATGTTTCTTGAACATGATGAGAAGGGTTTAGAAACCTCCAGACTAGCTGTATTCTTTTCTTAGCTTTTGGGGTTTGGAGTGTACAACTTCTAAGTAAGTTGTATCCTTTTTTTCCATCCAAAGATTCTTTTTATAGGTGACTCAACTAACAGAGGGATGATGTACTATCTAATAGAAAGAGTGAATAAGACTCTTCAGGAGTGGCAAAAGACTCATGACGTTAAATTTTACCATAATATCAATGAAGGGAAAACATTTATCAGTTACTCCTACTACCCCCAGTTTTGGATGAACGCAAACCAGAGACCGACTTTTGAAAAAGCACTAGAACAACTGCTGCAGAGGTACCGTACAAACTCTATTGCTGGCTTGTTTGTATTCTCATTCTATTTGCAAATGTGTTTAACACATTTTACAATTAAAGTCCGTAAACAATTAAACATAATGTGTGCAGACTGTATTGTGTGGTTGAAAAATAGTAGAAAATGACATCAGGCCTCTGATCAGGATGCCAGATACAGTTGACTGAAATGCAATGCAATGCAGTTAAAACGTTTGCCATCTGTTTTAAGGCAACATGTGTTGTTTTTCTTTTCTGGGTTTCAGATCACGTCCTCTGGAGAACACAGACCAGACCGTATTAATTGTAGGTGGCGTTCAGTGGCTTAATTCCAATCACCTGCAAATTATCCAAAAGGTGTTGAACAGGTAATGTTATGTACTTGGTGTTATTCCAAGTCTTGATATGATAAATTATGAGAAACAACAAAAATTTTTAAATGCAAACATTTCCTTTGTTTTCTCATGGGTGTGCACTTGAGTGACTTTGAAAAAATAAGAATGCAGTGTCTTTTGATGTGTCTGTTAAGTAAAATGTGTGTCTTTTTTAATTTGGTGAACAGGGAAAATCTATCAAATATCCTGGTAATTATCAAATCCATAGGGATGGGCTTTCATCTCCCAGTGGATGGAATACATTCTCTATCACAGGTAAGCTACAGTACATTTGGAGTGCATTTTCACAGACAACTTGTCATTTCAGCAATAATTTTGCTGTCTGGTCAAAATATGTTACAACCTCTGCTGAGCAAGCTTTAAATGGATCAAAGAAAGATTAATGTTTGTAGTTGCTCATACTGCTTGCTAATACAGATTCAAACCAATTTGCCTTATTTCATGAATTCCACCGCAATCAGAGGGCCGTTCGAGACGCCGTGCTCAGTCAGCCGTCCCAAGAACCAAAAGAAGCTCGGATGTTAAGCCTGCTGCCAAAGTTGAGAAATTGAGCTGGGGATAGTCAGATTGCTCCTTGTACCACGTCGAGCACAGGCCCTCCCCAGGCTTCCTCCACGGTTACTGCTGGATCAGATTCACTGGTCTGGCTGCATTGCACAGCTCTCCATAAATCTTGTTGAACCAACCTATGAAGCCAGAATATCAAAGAGCAGCTGGAATGTACCGGTGAATCTAGCCTGTTATTTGTATGTTAATCGGATGTTACAATCAGTTTAAATCATGTCGAAGACTCTCAAAGTTAACAGATGGGCTCATTTCAGTGTGCTGTGTAACTCATTTGATTCAATATTTTTATTTATGATTTGGACCATAGCTCTTTATTGAACACATATAAAATGCCTGGATGGGACAGGGCTGGGAAGCGCCGGAGGGCAGAACGGAGTAAATGATGCCTACCAGCACTGCGTGTGACACGCCAGCTATTCCCAGGTGTTGAAAAGAGAAAATTATTAGCTTTCATAGTTTACGTACAGCACTCCTGTCACACTGGGGACTGGCACCCACGTCCTTTTGCAACCGCAACACACTGCTGTATTCAGTGTGTGACTTACTGCTGCTCTCATCCTTGGTTTTGCTATGGAGACTGTCCTGTCAGATTTTGCCCATTCTTTCTGTCTAAGTTAGTAGTATCTGCCTTGTCTCTACTGAATGTCTTCTTCTTGATTACAACCATTTCCTTAATTTATCCAGGTAACCGAATTAGGATACAGTAGGGAAATTGTTGATGTCAACATGGAGAAACGTCGTTGCTCCTGCCATAGCTTTCAGCAGAGTTCGGACTTAGGAGGAAGAAGCAGAACTTTGATCAAAGATAGGTGAAGCAAGGATGGAAAGAGTATTAAAGGCTTCCCAGGACTAACTTTTTCTGTTTCTCATCCAGTAAATTTGTAAAACTCCAGAAATCAACTACAGTGCATAACTGACATTCTTTTTCCTTTCAATATTGGAATCATATGCCAAATTACCCGTGTGGTTTGGGTGTTCTGGACTTCTGGATTACCCTAGCTACTCTTCAAGGCCCTTCTGTCTTCAGTGTCAAATCCACCACCTTGCCAAATTTACGGCCAGCCTTTTTTCTATTCCTGGCCTTCCTACAGTATCTTGAGAAATAATAATCTGTTCTTCAGTATAACCATTTCTAAGATACCCGTGGCCCTATACTTCTTTTTAAGCAACAGTCTCAGTGACTTTGGTTTGAAGCTGAATTTTTCTTTACAGGGACAATTTCACCATTTGTTGCAGACAACTTTATAATAGGATTTTTTTGCTGAATTACACCTCATATTAGCTAAGTACATGTTGAAAACAGTTACCCAGTAATTATATTTTAAATGACATTGAAATCTTCCTTTGAAGGAAGCTGCACAACTACTGAAAAGTAATTATAATTTCTGCAAAAATCTACAACAGTCTTGGAGTAATAGCTATTTTCAAGAACGAATTTGTAGTAAATCATGTCTGGAGTATAACATAATTGCTTTATTCAAAATGCAGTTTTGCTATTCATTTCCATGGCAAAATACAATGACCTTTAAACAGTCCTTCTGACAAGACATTGCAATATTTTATCTGGAATGCAGGCAGAAGTGCAAAACTTGTGGAATGAAAATTTGATTATTCTGGATACAGCAAAAAATTTTGGCTATGAAGTTGTTGACACCTTTGTCATCACCATGGGACGTTACAAAGAATTCCTGCAAGGGAAGTGCGGCTGTCATTTCCATGAGGTAATAGTTTATGCTTATAGAATTCCCAGGTATTTAAGAGAGATTTTAACTGTCAGATGCTTAGAAACAAAAAGGTATGTAACGAGGTTTGCATCCCTGACTCAAAGTTAGGTCCGAAAAAAAAACGCAGAGACAGCAGTTTGTCCCTTGCTGCTCAGAGTGCAAAGCCACCCGAGGATGGGCTGAACTGCTGTAGTGGTGATTCCTTGAAATAAAACCAAGCATGCTCTTCTGCAAAGATAACCCATATAAAAAGATGTTGCATGGTTTCCAGGTTCTTACTTTATTTGCTATGCGTTATGTATCCCTACTGCTTCTGCATGGACTCACTTTGTCTTTTTGCCATACCTCAGCCTCACAGGGTTTTATCTGAAGCCTTCCTAACTGAGCAGCTCAGCAGACTCCCATCAAACCATTGGTACATTTAAAATGGAGTTTAAAATTGAAAGACCAATCTTACTGCTCTATATCTGTTTTCCTGTGTCTGAGAAAGAGTTATCTGGGATAGTTACAGTGGCTGACTATATAAACAGAAGTGTAAGTCACTTGTTCCCACTCGCGCCCATACTTCTGCTTTCTTTTTTGTCTGAAATCTATAGAAATTCTGTCTTCTGTTTTATAACTGCTGGACTGGTGAAACAGGGACATGGTAAAATATATGAGTAGAGCAATTGAGAACATATTCTTCTGTTCATTCAAAGTTCTGGCAAGGAATCTTCACAATATATTACAAATTACAGAAGTCCATGGATTAAATCAAAAATGAATAAGCAAACGTATTATTATATCTAGGCACAAAATCAGCCCAGAGGCTGCCAAACCAGTGAAAGTAAAGAGTTTGAAAAACAAGATATTTAAAGTTTTTCTGGTTTCCTTTAAGATGTATTTTGAGTATGTGGTATGTCTTTTTAGAGTGAGTGCTCTTCCCCATCAGCAAAGGCAGGATCTGTTTTAGTTTTGGATTTCTTGTACCTTATGTATAGCAAATGAAGAAGTACACCCCTGTTTTAGTGCAGGCGACCCTGAATGAAAACAGAGAGTATAATTTTTGAGTAGTCAAGTAAGAAGGTACCCTCTGCCATGAGGCTGATGACAGTAATTTCGCATATGATAGTTAAACAACTGTCACCGAGGCCACCAGACTATTCCTGTAGCTTCCAACCGAGTTCTTCGTCGTACCCATGACACCAACTTGTTGGTACAAAAGGCCAGTTCCTAGGTTCCCAGTTTCCTGTTATGGCTCAGCTGAGAATCTGAACACATCATTCATTGCCCTAAAGAAGACCCATGAATATTACATTACTCCCTTTGGAAACCAGAAAAAGCTTTGAGGAATAAAGGAGGCTTATATCTTTGCAGGTGCTTAGCTCCTGATTCCCAGTAAAAAATATTTCTTCAGTGAAAACTGGAACTGTGCACTCAGACATCATCAGTAACCTCATGCCTCAATCCATTGCTGGATATAAGGACATAGAAGCCTTCTGGTACCTCAGTAGATAAAGTCATGTTCAGCACAGTAAGACATTGCCTGTGAAGCCACAATGATCTTCATTCTTATGAACTGAATCTGGGTTGTCTGTTTAACAAAAGACTAGGAAACTATCACAATTTATTCCGTTTAAATGTTTAGGACCATAAAACTTTAACTGTCATATCTTTCACGCATTTCTTCTGAGTGATCGAAAGAGAGATGGCAGGTGCAAGTTCTTTCATAGAATGAAATATGAAATGAGAAGAAATTGTTACCAAACAGTTAAAACTGGAGGAAAAAAAGGATGCAATGAAAGAGGTCTCTTTGAAACCAAGAGTTAATGAATTTATGGCGTTCCATGGTCAACTGGGGGCTTTGAGCCAGTAAGAAGCTACTAGTTGGAAGAAATCTCAGGAGTTTGGTTACTGACTAGAATAATGACACAAGCAATTTGATGTGTCTTTTAGAAGGCAGAACGCCACAAGTTAATTCTTATGGAGAAAATCTTAGAACTTTTTTTATTGGAGTTATCAAAAGTGCATAAATATTAAAAAAGACTATCAGCCTCACAAGTGAAATACTAACATTTTTCCAGCATGAATTTAGGAATTTGTTTTCTGTCAAAACAAATTACTTCAAATAAGAAAGACCACCAAAAGTTTTCTGAATCTCTCAAGAGAAGGATAAAACCCCTCTGCTTATTTTGGCAAGTCATGTCTATTTTTCTGTAAGCCTCACTCTTGGCCAAGCATGTTCCCAGGACCTGGACGTGTGCAGGGTTAGCACAGAAGCTCTGTGGAGCTTCTCAGGTACAAAGGTAGGCCATGACACCAGGCATGAAGTGGAAGCACTAATTTTTGCTGTGAAGAAATGTCAGGACAACTAAGGTATATTTTCCTTGAAGATCCCAAAAAAGCAAAGATCCAAAAATAAGGTTTTCTTCATCAGACACCCACAGTATACACTGGAAGACAAAAATATGCTGTGTCTAATTAAACCTAGGAGTAGTTTAAACCAAACAAACTGAAATTCAGTGATGGTGATAGTAAAATTCGAGCATAGGCTCTGGAGTGTCCTTGCAGTGTCTGCTGGCCAAGGACCAACATAGCAAGCCTAATTATTTTCTTGTAGCCAGTGGATTATATTTAATTCTCTCAGCCACAGTGGTCACCTTTACATAAAGCAGAATTAAAAAATTAATAACTACAAAGCTTTGATTTTTCTCCTTAAATATCACAGACATATAGTATCAGAGACAGTCTACCAGACAACAAATGCATTCCTAAAAGAGAGTGGGGAGACAATCAGCTGCCACTGGTTGGGACTTTGCTCCAGTATGAGGCTCACTGGGACTGAGCACAGGTTTGGGAGCATTACCAGACCCATCTGACCTCACGTGATGTATGTCAACCTCACAGCTGGTTTCCACCTCAGGCTCTTCAGCAGCTCACGTGTTTTCAGCCCATTGCTGTGGCCTCTGTCCTGCTTTGGGACCAAACACAGCAGGCGTGGTTGGTTAACCAATCCTTTAATCTACTCTGCTCAGTACATGACAGAGGCATGAACACAGCTCAGTTCAAATGGAGCTGGAAAAGAGGGAGTAAGTCACAGAGCAGATATTTATGCAATGGGTAAATAGTCCCGTGGAGTAAATGCCTCCCTCCATTTCACCCAGATGGCTATATTGACCCTTTTTTGTCTAGAACCCAGATGTTGATGTCTTCATGGGTCACTGCTGATGCTCGCCATTTCCACAGAGCCTTTGAGTGAAAAGGAGAGCTTCAAAGTGAAATGTTTCAGATGCTTTGTGTGGAACTGGGTGGAAAACAGCAGGGCGTGATCAGTCATCAGCATTTTTCATACACTCCTCCATCATTTTGTATGAGCTCATGTGCAAATTTGGCCTTGCTTCTCTGCCGGAGGAATCTCAACAGAGAGTATGTGTTTCTGGGGAGGATCAGGGAAGGATTTGGCTCACAGAGCTGTTGTTAATGAGGCTTGAGAGGTCATTGTGCCTGAAAGAGGCATAGCTGTGCCCAGGAGAATACACCAGCCACCAAAAACCAGTTTTCATCCTTGAGGAAAGCAAAAAGAAAGTCCTTGAATGCTTTTGATACCTCGTTAGTTTTAACAGCCTTGTCATCAGTTTATTTCTGCATCCTGGCAAGTGGAGTTTCGTCAGGTGCTGAAGCAGTTTGCGCTAGGAAAATGGCATTTTGCCTCCAAGGACAGAGCCAAGAACACTGTGTAAAACCCCAGCACTTTTCATGTTTTATGAAACCAGATGATATGGATTAAATGTACTGCTTTGTACTTCCACTTTGTTTCTCTTAAAAAATGACATTCCTAAACTTATAGACGGCACCCCTCTGTAAATGCCATCTGAGCTCGAGCACGGCAGTGCGGGAATGGAAGGCTGGCCACGCTGCGCCGTCAGAAAACAAGAACTGAAATGCATTCAACAGTTCTCATTTAGTTCTCACTAGCTGGCCCAACAGAAACCTATTCCCCCCGATTGTCCTGATAAATTAGTGGAGTTCCCACCAGCCCACTTCAGAGGGGCCTCAGGTCACCCTGATGGTGTAGAAATCCATAGTTCTCTAGACCCTACAATCTTCGCTCAGATTGCCAAGGGATCTGGACTCACAAAGGGATTATACCTATGTGGGACAAAAAAATCTTGCACTTTCTGCCCAAACATACTTCTAGCTCTATGCACACATGCAAATCTGATTTTTTAATTACCTCATTCTTCACAAATGCTGATGGAGAAGTAGATTAGCCGGCAGTTATAAAGACCTTTATGGAACCTATATTTTTAATTCATATTTATTTCCTAATTTAATGGCAATGAAATGAGGGTCACACCATAAAAACTAGCAACCTTGGGATTTTGGTATCTTAATCAGTGGCTGGCTGCTGGATGAATATTAGATTACATTCCTGGGAGATTATGCCTCACAGGAATGCAGTTTGGGTGAGTGGTTCAAGGTGGCATCGTTTTGAAATAGTTGTAAGATCTAAGGCACTAATTTAGAAAAATGAACTTGCAGTAATTGTATGAAAACAAATAACAGCCCTTGGCTTAGCTGTGTCAAATTGATCAGAGGATATATTAATTTTCTACATGGATAATTCCTGATCTTTTTTTAGTTCAGCCAACTCCCTCATAGCCTCTCTGCCTAGTCTTTCAAGCCTTTGCACATGTTATTCCTTTACTCACATTTAATTTTGTATGAATTGTTTCATTTGTTATGAGCTTCACTACATATGAACATTGCTTCTGATTGTTCAGTGACAGTACATATATGTTATATTTTTTTAAAAGCTAATATGCTTTCACATAAATATATGCATTAATAAATGAAGTCTGCTTTTTCAAGTGTCTCCTGTGATTGATATAGCAGGAAATTGATGGGCATCAGAGCTATCAAGTCAGCATATATTTACTCTTTTAAAAATAAGTTAACCAACCACTTGGCCCCTTTTCTGCTTTCTCTGGATTTGCCAATGCCTGGGTTGAGGTCCTCTGTCCTGCATCTGTACAAGGTCCAGAAGTTTTGTCTGTCTTGAAGTTGCTTCATTATTCATCAGTGACTGTGTGTTCACTGAGAGGAGACCTTCAGCATCTCACAGGAGACCACCCCTCTCCAGTCATTAGGTTCTTGACAACCATACCTTTCACTTTCTGTCTCGTCACATGGGCATTTGTTTATTCCATACAAATTGAACATGATAATCCCAGAGCTTTATACATATTTGGAGGGCCAAGGAGGAGGATTTTTCTACATTGAGTTACTGAACGACATTGTCGCTATGTCAGTGTGGTGCCACGGGGAGAGGGATGTTAAATTGCACCGTAACTCTCTTCTCGGAGAAACGTGACACATGAGTGTTTTCATCTCAACGTGGAGCTGGGCCAGGCTTGCATCAAGACCTGAGAATGAGACACTCTCCCAGGGCTCACAGCTGAGACACAGCTTATGTTCCTCAAGTGCTTGGGATCGGAGCAGGATTTAAACTTGCCTGCAAGTCAAGGCTGTCCTGAGTTTATTTTTTCCCATGGTAAATATACAGACAAGCTGTTAAGGATGAATTTTGTTGTTCAGATAAATTGTCCCTAGTGAAGGGAACAGAGTCTAATATACAAAGGCATTACGGAATCAACCAACTGAGTATAATGGTCCTATACATTTAGATTTCAAGGCTTAAGTGAGTAAGATCTCGCACTTCATAGTACGTAACATAACAAGTGGGCCCACTAAAATACTGTTTGTGAGCAACTTGCAGCTCAAGGTAAGAGTATCAGGACCTGCTTTGTGGAGAACTGTCTGAGCATTTCTGTACACACAGCTGTGTATCTCTCTAGGTGCAGGCAGAAAGCACTCACATATGTCACTTCTTTTGCAGGTGGTGAAATCCAATCCCTCTGAGGAACGTCCACACATAACAATGACGTTATCGAGGCACTATGCACTGGGGAAATATTTCGGCAGTCAAAGCAAGCCATCACAACTGCAGGACTATGCAACAAATTCTCAGTCCCCATATCACGTCCGAGGTCCAATAAATCAAGTTTATTCTGAAATCCTTCTCAGCAGGCTCTGTGCAAGTAAGAGGGAGCTTGTCAGCACATAGCCTCTCTTGGATACAGCGCTGCGACTTGAGATGTGCCACTACCTGAGTGACAATTGAAGGACCATGGTGAATTTATGGCATGCTTCCTTCACTGGCTGCACACACATCAACAGAGTTTTGGACATGTGGCATTTGTCCTGAAGCTTTATGAAGTCAAGCTATGCCCTGGCAACTCTGTGGTGTCAAAATGGAAGATGAAGGGTTGCAAAGGAGAGAAGAGGGGAAGTTACTTGAACTGTTGCCAAAGGCTAGAACAGCTGTAGCTCAGGCAACTGTGTATTAATGATAGTAAAGACAGAGAAATATATACACTTGAAAAATTTGGAAAGGACTGCTTTAGCTCTTCAGCACTATCTAGTTTTCTATTTATAGAGACACTGTAATATTTGAATGTATTTAGAAACTGGCTACATTCCATTTTAAAGAGTTTTATTCTATGTAGATGGATTCCCTTTCAATATCAAACCTTTTCTATTTAGACACTTGGTTTATACAATTTGAAAATGTCTATTAGCATTTTACTGATGATGCCCAGTTTTGAACTCTAGTGTTTTTAGTGAAAACTCACCCCTTCTTTGTGTCTTAGGTGGAACAGATGTCTACTCTGTTTTTTGCGTGTTCTAAAGCTAATATAGAGATAGATTACTTAGACTTGAGACTAATTATAACTGTCTCAATGTAACATGTAAATATACTGAATTTGTTAACATAAGCTTATTTATGGGCCTGGTTTAGGAGACTGGCCATATGCAGGAAAACTGCTCAGATATGTGCTTCAGTGTCTACCTTGGCCTGTAAGCCAAGCAAGTATTCTCCCCACATGGAAGTGCCATTTCTTTTACAATTTTTTTGAAAATACTTGCCAACATGTGAAGCCAGTACCACAAACAGAAGAAAAATCCCCTTTGCAAGCGCACACAAGAACTTTGGGATCTGGTTTTTAACCTGTCATGAGGAGTGTGTGATGTGATGGGAGCAGGATATCCTGCCTGTATCTCATGCTTGACAAGGACAAGACCTTCTCTGAACGCCAGTTTCATGCTGTAGCCCAGATACATCACCGATGTTTGTAGCCCTACTCTGGGTGAAACCCCAGGGAGAGGCTTTGCCACCGCAGGGGGAACTGCCTGACGATCCCCTGTCACAGCCTTGGCAGCACGCTCCTTCACAGCTGTGGTGCCCTGATGGAAACCAAGCATGGTCCAGGCTTAGCAGCTGGGTGATGGGTTAATGGCACCCCATCAGACTGTTCTCCCTACAAATCATTCAGTTTTACGGATTTTTATGAATCCAGTCATGGAGCAGGCAATCAAGGCACTGCTCTCTCCCACCATGCACTAGAGAAGGGAGTCAGAACCAGGTAAGTACGAGTCTAAGGAAGGATCTGCTGAGCATGCTTTCTCCTTTACAATTTTACATATAATCCTGCACTAGCTTTTACTTCCTTTGGGCAAGGAAGGGAATAAACAAATTACAGCACAGAACTAATCACCACCTTATTGGCCTTAGTAGCACACAGAGGGGCTGCCCTATATAGAAGTAGGGCTAGAAACTCATGACACCACATCTAGGATTTGCCAGAGATCCTTATATTCAACACAGTCTGTATCCCCAGCTAAACTTTTGTGAATTCTTGCCCCTTCAATTAAGATATGTAGAGATATGATGGGAATTTGTCATGCAATGTGGAGTTTGGCTTCCCTAGATGATAGGAGGGTCCTCAAAAAGAGGATCTGGCATAACTAATTTAGGAGATC